TTAAAGTGTGTATGTTTGTACTCAACTGTTTCCTTTAATAAACAGTTGTTTAGTTGTTGCCCCAAGGTGACTGTGGCACTTTTTCTCAGCAGATATGAAACTGTTGCTTTTTATTTCCTGTATTTCTCGGGACTTTTTGTAGTTTAAAGAAAGCTGTAATTTTTAAAAGTAGTTCAGCAACAAACAGGTCCTCTAAGGATTTAATGCCTTACAAAACTGAACCCACTGACAGCACCCATTCAATTTCAAATCCATGAAAACTATTAAATCATACATCGGGCATAAGGCAATTAGTCATTCTCCTTCTTTAGATTGCCTTGGGGCGCTGTGCGTTTGTGGGTAGATTCTCTGGAAAATGTACCTGCCTATTCCATTGTAAGGACTGGGGGAAAAAACACCACTTCCTGATATTTTTGTCGTACTGCAGTTTATCTCAGAATACATGTGTAATTGAGTTTCATGCCACAGCATGATAAGAAAATGCACAAGGTTTGTCAGACCAATGATTTACAATACATGATTCAAGCGTGACTGAGCACATCCAACAATGATTTCCATACGCAAATGTGGATGGGGGGGGGACACAGAGAGAGTGGTAAACAACACGTGTGGGTGTTGGTTTCAACCGACAGGGCCGTGGCTGGGGCTATTGCTCAACAACACTCATGCACAACCAACTCATCTGACTGTGAAAGAAAAAAAGTGCTCCTACAAGCAGCGCTCACAGCTGCAGCTCATTTCTGAATGTACCAGCGCAATCCTCGAGGTCCTGTGTCACCAGTTGTTACTCTCTGTACCCAAGTCACTCCCTGTGTGAGCACTGAAGTAGAAACAAATGAGTTGGCCTGTAAACAAATTGACCTACACATCTAAACACTTGTCTCTGTTTTAACACGCAGAGCTCGACAGGCCTCATATATATATGTATTAGTCATATTTTTTTATGTTTTCCCATTTTTAAAGGATGGGATATTTATGAAAAGTCTCCTCTCAGTTATTGCAAATAAGTTAATTAAGTAACAAAGGTAACCAGCAAATTAATAGAAATATTAACAGCAACAGTGGTTGTAGTCTTGGTGGCCGGTGATCGGTCAGCCAGGGCCTCCGCTCCTGGACGCCGCCCGACACAGAATGCACCAGACCCTTACGGCGCCTCCTGTGGGTGGTGGGCCTGCAGGAGGATGGGCCCATGTCCCTTTTTCAGGCTGTGCCCGGCCGGGCCCCATGGACTAAGGCCCGGCCACCAGACGCTCACCCTTGGGCACCCTCCCCGGGCCTGGCTCCAAGGCGGGGGCCTGGTACCCCTATCCCGGGCAGGGTGAACTGTCCCTTTGATGTTCTACTCATAGGGGTCTTCTGAATGACTCTTGTCTGGTCCCTCACCCAGGACCAATTTACCATGGGAGACCCTACAGAAGATATCAGATCATCCCAGAAGAGCCCCTGGACAACATAGCCCCTGGGACACACAAACCCCTCCACCACGATAAGGTAGCGATTCGCGGAGGGAACGGGATACAAGCGGCGATAATGAGCTTCCTCTGAAGGGTACCTGGCCTCTCCCTTAGAGATAGGGTGAGAAGTTTAGCCATCCAGGAGGGACACAGAATAGAGCCCTTGCTCCTCCACATCAAAAGGAGCCAGTTGAGGTGGTTTGGGCATCTGACAAGGATGCCTCCTGGGTATGTCCCACTGGGAGGAGACCCCGGGGCAGACCCAGGATGAATTGTGTTGATGAATTGTTAATAAATATGGTGCAGCAATGGCATGTCTGAAGAGGGGGTATGTGGTCGTTTCATAACTCATGACACGCTGCTCTGCCCTCCATAAGCTACCTTTACATTTTAAAAGTATCAGTATTTGTATCAGCAATACTGGACCTGGATTACTTGGTATTGGATTGTTAGTGAAATTTGCAGTATCACATACCTCCCCGAAATGATTGGCCCCTGCAGGGCCCCTCCTCCAAACAATATCATTGTACTACAGTTCCATTAATCTAACCACTGGATTAGAGCATGGATAGAACCAGTAAGATTGTAACTAAGTAAAAAAAAATTATTACTTTACTGAAGGACAGGTTTAATGTACTTGTATTTTATTTAAGTATTTCTGTGTTTTGCTTTCTGCTTTTACTCTACTAAATTTTGGATGCAAATATTGTAGTTTGTATTCCGTACCATTTTTGTAAAGCTTTAATGGTTAACACATTCACCTTATATGCAAAAGATCTGCATTTCGAGGCTGGAAATAGACACAAAACTCAGCGTCAGTGGATCGCAAACTATTGTATTCCTAGTGCCAGTCCCAAGCCTAGATAAATGGGAGGGTTCCTTCAGGAAGGACATCCAGTGTCAAATCTGTGCCAACTCAAGCATGAGGATCCATCTGCTGTGGCAACCACACTGGAAATAAGGGAGCAGCTGAAAGTATCCATACTTATTTTATTGCTGACAAAATGCATTCCCACAGATCAAGCTTTCCAGCAAATATATAAGAAATTCAAATCAGCAGCAGCTGTAATACTAAAGAGATATGCACTGATCAGTCACTTTGCTAACACTGGGTTGTCTTCAGGACTGCATTATTTCTATGTGGCATAAATTCAACAAGGTGTTGGAAGCATTCCTCTGACATTTTGGGCCATGCTGACATGACAGCGTCACACAGTTGCTGCAGGTTTTGAACTGCTAATCCATGATGTGAATCTCCAGTTCCACCACATCCCAACGGTGCTCTTGAAATCTGGAGGCCATTTGAGTACAGTGAACTCACTGTCATGTTACAGAAAAGTGTTTGAGATGATTTGAGCTACTGATGGTAAGCAACCATCAGAAGATGGGTACACTGGTACACTGTGGTGATAAAAGGATGGATATCATCAGCAACAATAGACTGTGGTATTTAAACAATGCTCATTTGGTACTAAGGGACCCAAAGTGTGGCAAGAAAATATCCCACTCACCATCACACCATCAACAGTCAGAGCCATTGTAACAAGGCAGATTGAATCTACACTTTTATGTTGTTTTCATCTAATTCTGATCCGACCGTCTGAATGCTGCAGCAGAAATCAGCAGTCTGGTTGAACTGTGACATGCTGGTTGCTTACAGCATGTCACAGTAGCTCAAACACTCATCAGACCAGTGAACCCTTTTCCAATCTTCTATTGTCTCATTTTGATGAGCCTGTGTGGATTGTAGCTTCAGTTTCCTGTTTTTAGCTATTAGGAGTGGCACCCAGTGTGGTCTTCTGCTGCTGTAGCTCATCGGCTTCAAGGTTCAACGTCTTGTGCATTCAGGATTCTCTTCCTCATTGCTTGGTTATAACAAATGGTTGTTTGAGTTATTGTTGCCTTCCTATCAGCTTGGTGCAGTCTAGCTATTCTCCTCTGACTTCTCAAGAAGGCATTTTCACCCAGAGAACTGCTGCTCACTGGGGTTTTTTCTCTTCAGACCATTCTCTGTAAACCCTAGAGATGGTTGTGTGGGACAATCCCAGTAGTTCAGCAGTTTCTGAAACACTCAGACCAACCCGTCTGTCATCAACCACTGTGACAGATTCAAAATGACTTATATCAACTTTCTTCATCATTCTGATGCTCACTTTGGACTTCAACATGTAGACACAGTCATCTCAACTATGTGTACAGTAATAGTGTGAGAAATCTTGGAATTGTTTTTGACCAGGATATTATTATTGGGCCCTAACACAGAAAGGCAGACAAACACTGACACTTACATTCACACCTACAGGCAATGTAGAATCACCGATTAGCCTGATCCCACACTTTTCTTTGGACTGTGGAAAGAAGCTGGCGTACCTGGAGAGAACTCATACAGACACATGGAGAACATGCAAACTCAGACGGGCTCCAGTCTTTGGGTCAGCTTTTGCAATTGAAATTTGCTATAGGTTATACAAAATAGACATGGCTGTCCACATATTTTTATACACAGCCGTTTTTTGGGGGTTTTTTTGCATTTGGTACAGAAGTATATTTTGATATTTTTCATAAAAAAACCCCATTTCATTTCATTTAGTGGGCTGCATGCTGAACTTAGAGCAGCAGTCCCCAACCCCTGGGCCACGGACGGCTACTGGTCTGTGAGTCATTTGGTACCGGGCCGCGAGAGTTGAGACTTTGGTGTGAAATGTATGGTTTTCAGGGTTGGTATCGTTTTTTTTCGTTAACTCGGTTTTCCTGGGTCTTTTCACGTGTGTTATGAATAAATCTTCTTTTTTTCGGTACCGGTACTAGTTTTATTTTGTTGTCTTTATCCACGACACCTTAAAGGCCGGTCCGTGAAAATATTGTCGGGCCGTGGCGCAAAACAGGTTGGGGACCACTGACTTAGAGGACAGAAACCAAGTATCGATCTTATAGCACTAGTATCAGTCCGATACTATCGACATTTGGATCGTTCCACCCATCTCTACCACAAATGGGCAGAACATGCAAAGTCACAAGGCCCCCAGGCTGTACTGGAACTCAGTACCTAGTGTGCACTGACAGTGCTAACAACCACTGTGCTGGCCAAACTGAGGTTATTTCAGAGTAAATATAACCCCTCCCCCCTAGTCTTGTTTTTTGGCCCCCCCCCCCCCCCCCCCCCCACACACACACACACACACACCCTGTCATCTCATTAAGAAAAAATCCTGGATACGCCCCTGTAATTGTAACTAATTCAAACAAATAGTCCTGCTAAGTTGGTTTAGTTAGTTGGTTTAAATGCCCCATAAATCCATAGTAAATGATTTATTAGGCATTCTTTGTCACTTATAAACCCTTTGCAAAGGTTGTCTAAATATGAACTCCCGTTTAGCGTGTCCTTTAAAACCCACTACTCTGTAATCTATATGCAGTACGTGTACGCTGTTGTCTCTCTTACATTCACATGAACCCCCCCTCAGGTGCAGCCACAGTAAAACGTTGAGCTGGGCCCCACTACCCTCCCACTCTCTTTCCCCCTCCCTCCCGCTTTTCAACGGCCAAACTGCCGAGGCTGGATGCAGATAGAGAGGGGATTAGCTCAGGGTGGGGGATAGAGGGAGAACTTTTTTCCCTCTTTTGTGTTTTTTTAAGTGTCGTTTATTTCAGTGTGAAGAAAAGGAGAGGGGAGGTGTGTGTGTGTTTGTGTGTGTGAAAGAGAGGGAGGACTGGTAAGATTTTCCAGAGAGGTGGACTGAGACGGAAACTGAACATTTTAGTTTGAAAGTTGGGTCGGAGTGACCGAGGCTCTACCCGGAGAATGGAAGCGAGCTGAAGGTCCGCACATCTGCAGTCGGAGCCTTTCTTTTTCTTTCTTTTTCTTTTTCTTTCTTTCTTTCTTTCTTTTAAGAGATTTGCATAAGGAAAGGCAGGGACGGGGAGCAAGACCATGCAGCCGCTGCTGTCGGGTTAGTGGAGCTTGTGAGTTAGGGGAAGAAAAAAGGAAGAGCCTGAGGAGAGAAAACCGGTTTTCCCTTGAATCCTACCGCCGCTGCTTTTGTGTTTTTGAATGGTTGGCTGCCTTTCCTGCCTGACAGGGCCGAGTGTCACAGAAAAGTTTGAGGCTTCAGCAGCTCACGGGCGCGTCGGTAAGTTTGTAACTTTAACTTTAGGCTAACTTAAAACATATTTGTGTGTGTGTGTGTGTGTGTGTGTGTGTGTGTGTGTGTGTGTGTGTGTGTGTGTGTGTGTGTGTGTCTCGTCCACAATGCCAGCCTACTCTGGATGTCATCTGCGGTGTTAAGTGTGTCAGTGGATATCTGAATTCAGTTAACAGCCGTATGGAGACAATAGCCGCATATATTCCACTGATAGAGCTGTTGATGGCTGATTATAGTTGAATCCAGATCCTGACTGATCGATGCCAAGCTCTACAGCTGCTCCTCTTTTAAAGTTTTTTAAACTTGAGGCACGTAATGCAACTTATCCCGGAGCCTTTGGGCGCAAAGACGTAATGATCCGGGATAATGCAGGCTTTTTGTGTGCGCACTGAACCGGACACTTACACCAAAGTCCCACAGTAATGTGCTTTAATCAGTGGAGGCTAACAACTCAATGTTAGTTATGCTGAAGTTGTGTGTGGGGGGAGAAATAAAAGTCAAGATCTTAGTTGAAGTTATCAACCGCTGCTGATTTGTGCTTTTAATCCGGGTTTTATGTGAGAGCCACAGGTGGTTTGTAACAACACCCTACCTTCTTTTGTATCCACCCAGCGTGCATTCAAGGATAACTATATAGTTACATCTTTTTATGTCTGTGGATGGCGTGCAAAGAGCCCTGCCCTGTGGTTCTGCTGTGTGATCCAGGGTAGGAGTGCCTCTTGGTTTTTCTGGGCAGTATGATGACAACCTTCAGGTCCCGTCTTTACTGGGGGACCACAGTCTGCAGTTACAGCCCCTCCGTGCACCCCCCGCCATCTACACGACCTTCTCCCTCAGCCTGCACCAGATGGTTTTAAAAACTCCTTTGAACAGGCTGAGAGGAAGCCCTTCCCTGCTTTGGGGAAGGAGTAGAAGGAAGCGCGAAGCGCAGGGGCTGATGAAAGTCAGTCTGCAGATGTCAGCGTGGATGCATGGGTCTCGGTTTTTGTCTTTTTGATGTTAGTAAAATATGCTTGCTCATCTAAAATCACTGAAACACAAGGTGACATTTCAGAAAAATGTCAAACACTCTTTGGAGTGAGTGTATGCACATTTAAATCTTTAACTTGACATCTCGGTAGGACGTAGATTACAGTCTGTGTTGTTACATTTTTTCTCTCAAAGTGACCACAGGCTGGTTTTTATTCTTCTGACTAAAGCATTGACTTGCTGCCCGTCTTTATTTATCTGCAGTTTCAAACCTATATGAGACATGTTTTTGCTAAAGATGGAATATCTAAGTTAAATGTCCAAATGCAATGTCTTACAGCACATTGCCAAGTAACATTTAAGCAACAAGAAACACAAATACACTTGTACATCCAAAATGCTGTTGGATGATGATTATTTAGAAAAGTTCACCTCTGAAATTTTCAAGACATATGTGTTAGTGTGTCAGGCCACATGCTTGACCCCAGTACTCTGTACCCGTGACTCCCTCAGCTGCTAGGAAACTACAGCAAAGGTGTATTTCTGAAAACTTCAGTACTAAAGTAAGGCAAAAATGCAGAGTGCAATTTAAATAGATGTGGGCTAAATGGACCTTTACACGCACACAAATATTTATGGCCAAAATGCTGATTTAAATCATTTGACAACATGTACATTTTCCCATGCAACTGTGTTACATAACGACAACGTAAAACATCAAATGCAATGGAATCAGGTCAAATAAAATGTACCTGATTGGTATACATTTAGTTTATGTCAGTCATGTTTTCCTAAATGATTAATTATATGAGAAAATAAACCCTCGATTTTATATATTTCAGTTAGATTTTATTCAAAATTATTGCTTTACATTTACGAGGGCAAAGAATGAGCACTTGAAGCTACAAGCCTCATTCACCCATTCACATACACATTCACCAAGCTTTTTATTCTATGGCTAGGCGCCTTATCTAACATTCACACACACACACACACTTACACTCCGATGAATGAGGGGCAACCCAGGGCTCGGTATATATTGTGTCTTTGCTACAGTGCAGAAAAAAAAACTGCATTTCATCACGTTTTCATCAATTTTCTTTCACTCTAACCGTTGTCCTTTGTACTGATACGAAGCTAAACTGAGTGTTACATGTAGCTTTTAAAGAAGTAAAGACCATAATTTTGAAGGGGGTTCGTCTTCCTGTTAAAAAGGAGATTTTCTTTCCCACAGTCTTCAAGTGCTTGCTCATAGGTGCTCATTGGATGGTTGGGGTTTTCCCTGTATTATCGTATCGTAGGGTCTCTATCTTTTAATATAAAGTGCCTTGAGGCAGCCATTATTGTAACTCGGTGCTGTATAGTTTGAATTGAATTGAACTGAATTCTCTAACATCCAAAAACTATTTAAAGTACTCTGTGCTATAGCTGTGACATGAGGGTGGTGCTGGGTTGGGGGGGAAATGAAGGACGTGTGATATTTTCGGCTTGTGACGGCGCTGTAGGGGGTACAATTATTGCAGGCTGGAATTATACAGAGAGGGTTAAAGGCCTGCTCTAAATGACAGAGCTGCATTGGAAGTGCTGCAGACGTACTGTATATAGACACAGCACTAGAGGTCCGAACCACTGCTGTGTTACGCTCTGACGTCCCTTCCTCTGTACTGGGCTTTCTTTACATTTCAGTGAGTGGCCTTTTTTCAAAGTTTCATGATTGGAGGTTATATTTAGACTCCGGCCTGGATGTCATTGTTCATCAGCCGCTTATATTATCTCATACACTGCCACGCTGGCGCTAACATATGGACATCAGACTCCACCACACAGCCTGCTAAACGCTGCTCCCCCACCACAGACGTTAATAGAGCGTTTGTGAACCCGCCCCTCCTTACAGCACATACGGTGCACTCACAGTGGTAACTTACCACAGCACAGTTGATGAATGTACATTACACGTTAGTATATTTTCACTGTGTTAATGACCTTTTTCTCTGAGGTACAGTATACACTCATGCACCACTGACATGTGACTCTCTTCAAAAGGCTGCTCATTGTATATCAGATTTTTTTATGCCTCTTTATGAATAGCTCTCTAAGGATCTCTTTTATTGAGGTGAAAATCAGGCAAGCATGAAATGGAGAGATTAAAGAGCAGGAAAAAAGTTAGATTGCTGCTCATATAAAAAAAAGGGAGCCATAAGTGGATGTAATTGGGACCCAGGACTACAGGGGAAATGATTTTGCAGTGAAAATATAAACTTGACTGAATTAGAAATTCAACTAGTGGCTCTCTTATTGTCTTGCAGAGTACACGAAAATACTGCCAATGTGCATTTCCATACCTCAGGGTGATGACCTAATTCAGGGACCTCCCACTGTGGAAAATGAGGTTGGTTTTTTGACCTGGATCAGTTTTGGGAGGCAAATAGAAGAAATTGTTTAACTTGAACTCAGCATTTAAGAGACTGTGGTCACAAGGCAGTTTATTATCCCCTCTGAACTGTTTGGTTAAAGGCATCGATTGCACTGAGTTTTGTGACATTTCTTTATAGACAGATGTACGGATCCCTGCGTGTGTAGGTATCTCTTTAGTATAGATCAGGACCACGAGGCAGAGAACACATGAAGAACTTTAAAGTGAGGGGGGGAGTTGCAGGTCAGATTTGTGCAGTGAAAAATTAGGTTTATGTTGATGTCGTAGTTCACATGCGGCCCTAAAACGGCTCTTGAAAGTTTGGATTGATATGTGGAAAGTTGTTAAAAACAAGTTGTTGTTAATTCATGTACAATGGAGTGAAAAAACACAGAGAGACCTGAGTTACCTACGCCTCAACAGCTTTGAAAAATGCTGCTTTTTAAAGGTTTTGAACCAAATAGCTTGCCCCTAGTTTTATAGCTCAGTTTATAAATATCTGTGTGTATTGTGTGTTTAGTTTTTTGGCACTTAGTAATCAGAATGAATAAATAAAAGGACCACAGCCAAGAGTTTGTGACAGCTACTAATCTGTTTTCATACACGGATGCATATGAAGAAGAAATGCAAAGCCCGCAGGGACTCAAAGTCTGGTCAAAGTGAAAACTGACTGTCATGTGGTGCTTTGTTTGTTATGTAAGTTCTTAGCATACAAACATGGCAGTAGCTATGCAAAAAACCCTTCTGAAAGTAGCCACAATCACGTAAGCTGGGGCATTATGACATAATTGAAAGTGTTATGTGTAGCTTAGCCCATGAGCCAGATAGATTACCAGCTTATTAACGCTGCATCATAAGGTTGCCTATCCTGCAACTTCCTAATGGTCAAATTTCTCAGGTGAAATGGTTTCTAAAGACACTGCTAGTTTTTTGACTTCCAGGTAGTTGTTTTTCCTCAGCTTTGTGTGTTGATAATCCAGCTCTTTGATAGCCTTTTTGGTCCATGTCACAAACACAGGGGGTCAGTTCCTGCTGAAACCTGATGTTCCACTTCCTCATGTGGTCCTCAGTTTCCTGCTACGGCGAGGCAGGAAGCTCAGCAGTGGGTCATTTGAAGTCTTGCTCTGTCTGCTTTAGAGTTAAAGCAGATGTTATTTTGATAAGTTTTGTGCTTAGCACAATATGTATTATCATATTTAAAGACCCCAGCTGTGACATTAGTTCGCTTTATTCACATTTTTATTTTCTTGACTCAGTCTTCCAGCTGGTTGGGGTCTTCACCTTGAGGAGACATAATTTATACCAACAACTGTTGAGACCCCAGTGCATCTCGCATTCTTGGTAGGGTCTTCCAAGTGAAGCTGTCAGACGGCCAGGCCATAGCTCTGCAGGTTTTTCAGTTCTCAGCTGGCCCCGGCCGTCAAGTCGGAGAAACGCTCCCAGAATCTTTGGCTGTGCTCGCGCACGCCCACCCCCTTGATTAAACACACCCGCATTAGCTATGTGGGGAACTTTTAGTCAGCCTTGTCTGTTCCAGCAGCTGAGCACTCAAATCTGTGCTGTTCAGGACAGCACCCCGCTGGGTGTGTTCAAGGGGAGGATACCCAAGGACAACACGTTATTCCAATAGCGCTGCAGCTGATACTGAGTGTGAGCTCAGTGAGCTTTGTAGAAGGGATCTGAATTATTACTTGTTCATTGTGTTTTAACAGTGCAGAGGTAGACAGGACACAAAGAAGGGAGGGAAATGAAGTGCAAAAGAGTTATTAAACTGTACAAGCTGCATTTCACAGTAATTTCAGGGCACTTTATGTTGTAAAGTATAAACCTTCCAATGGTGCAATATCCCAAAGAGAAATGGAACTATTTTCTGTTTTCAGCTGGAAGAAATCTGCAGCAAAAGCAGACTTGGGAGCGGCCGATCCAGCTCAATGGAGACAAAACAGAAGAGACTAGAGAAAATACAATAGAGACTACAACAGAGAGAGAAGACAAAGAGGAAAAAGATAAAATTATGGGAGGGACGACATAATGACATGCAGCAGAGGCGCAGAAATTTATGGGGCCAGAGAGAAGCAAAGCTCAGGGCATTCATGATATGAGATTCTCCAGTAAAAACTAAATTGATTGAGCAATAACTGTAAGTGTGATCAGTACAGAAACTTTCAGGCCTGTTCATAAAAGGAGCTACACTGTCTGCCTCAGTAAGACTTTTTAAAACTGAAGGAACCACAAACCTGCACTCTGAGGTGCTTTAAAGGGTTAAAAGCTATTGTGGACTTTACTGTGTGAACTAATGAAGGGAAGCTACAGAAATCTGATTCGTGTTGCTAATTCCTCATTGTATTCACACTGCAACACTTTGGATTAGCTGATGGTTTGTCACAGCGGAGCTTCTGGCAGTTTTTGGGATGTTTTATCTAAGAAGCAACAGATGCATGGGCCTATTTTTGAGTGGCAGTTTGAGACACATGGTAAGCATTTATAAGAATACTTATATGAAGGGCATTTTCCGGCCTTGTTTTCTAATGAGTTACTTTCATTGATGACGCATGGCCTAATTCAAAGTATGTAAACAAGGTGCCAGCAGCAGCTGCAGCAGCAGCATTATATCCAGTGATACAGCGAATATCAAATGTAAGCACAGAAGTAGCTTTGGGTAGTTTTCCCCCCCAGAAAATCTAGTAAAGTAAACTTATAAAATACGTACTTAACACTTACTAAAGTAACTTAACCTTGTAGCGCTGCACACCACGGTCGCATGATTACACTGAAAATTGTTGTCTACCTCTGACGTCAAGCTTTTTAACCTGTTGCTTAAAGCCCTTGTTTTCCACCATGTAAGCACAGCAATAATTTCCATTCACCGCTTGCTCTTCCTGTCATGCGGGGGGATAGTAAATAGCTCGTCCTCACTCATTCTTATTCTGCTCAGGCTACGGCCACGAATGCCCTAAAATCCTGATGCGTTTCTCTGTTGTTAGACCCTCCATGAGGAAGGGTAGGTGTTATACTTCACCTTAAATGTAGATTTAAGGTTACGGGTGATTTGTTTGTTTTTTTTGCATTATAGGAAGACAAGGTAAAATTTTATTTGACCTCTTTATGTCTTTATATAAATAAAATAAGGAAAATTTAAAAAGAGGCTTTTCTTATGAAAGGTTTTTAGAAAGGCCCATTTTTGTCCAACTACACCCAAGCTCCCCCTGGCTGGTGGTCCTGTGTATGTGTTGGTGTCTATTATTAGCTTATCTAGGTGTCATATTTTGAAAATTTCCCAAATAGCTGCTGTAAAACTAACGAATTTCACTTTAATTTCCACTGAGTCGTCAGAATTGAATTCATTAACCTTTTTGCAGTACTTTGCTGCATGGGGGAAAACCAGTGATGCTACCTTCTGACTCAAAGCGCTGCCAGGCCAAAGTGCAGCCTCGGAGAGCTGCCTGTGTGGCTGCAGACTCAAAGTCTAGTTGACTTCTAATGAATCTGTTGCCAGGCAGCTTGTTGAAAATTCTGCATTGTAAGGTGTTTTTTTTTGGCGGGGGGGCTCCAGGGAGTTCAAGCGTTAAGACTGATAGCTCTGTCTTCCAGTTTAGGACCACCCTTCATCACTTACCAGCCGTCTGAAGGCAAATACTTGGCTCCCCTCTTAAAGCAAACGACTTGGGATGTAGCAGCGTCCTTGCTGCTGCGCTCAGTCATCTTTATGCGGTCTCGTTTTTCATTCGCATGGTTTCCTCCGAGTGCCACTAGAGGTCACAGCATGGGCCTCAGAGTCTTTGTTTTGCCCCATAATGGCTCTATTCTCCCACAGCGGCAATGACTCCCAAGGCTGCTACACATAAGACACCATTGTGACGAAAAGGGAGCATGAGGCAGAGGCATGGGAGTAAAACATGGGTGTATATGTGTGTGAAGCTGAGGCAGATTACTGTTAAAATCCTGCTGAAATATGAGCTGATCTCTAGTTTAAGAGTGAATTAAGTCATTATCTTAGCAGTTAAGATATGAGATCCAACAGTAACCAGATATGTGAGAGAAAGGAAGAGGCCTGGGTTGTTATTTCGTGTTAGCGCTGCCGCCGTCCTCCTGCTGTTTAACTAAACCTAATTAGAAGACGACAAAGTGTTCATTCAGAGTCGGGCCTGTGAGTGTAAATGTGGAATATTGTTAATGTGGAATAACAGGAATTACTATAAAAGTAATAATATTTAATAACGGCCCACAAATCTTCGTGGTAAACATTATTCAGGTTGGTGTTGCTGTAGTTGTTTAGAGCCAGTTACCTACCCAGGACTTTAGTCTTCTACTAATTTAAAGGAGTAACGATGCCTGGAATATGAAGAAGCCATCAAACTTGTAAAAACTGTTAAAAAAAAAGAAGACAAAATTGAAGCAGCTGTTTCATATCAACACTGACCAGGTGTCATAATAACACCAGCTAATGCAAAGAGTCTTTGACACAAACCAGCTGGGTTTAACATTGAGTTGAGTGTACACTAAAAGTCAGCTCTATTCATAAATAAAGTGCATCAGCCAACTTTCTTCATTCAAATTCATTTGACACCTAAAGAGAGTCACGCATATACAAAACCTTCCCCTTCTCTCACATGACTGCACCTTTGGTAACACGAGGAGGGAAACCGTAGTACTTCCCCAGCCGGAGGTAAACAAAAGCCTCTAACAGTAAGGGATTTTTTCCCCTTCTAAACCTCTTTCACAACACACTGACGCGAACATCTGCTCGAAATTTAGTGCTTACTCTGAATTTTAGGAGGTAGCATTAACCCTTAATCATACAAAGAATGCAAAAATGTCGAAGAAAGACACCAGCTGTCATATTTGCACTGATCCACCAATGCTGCCCGGACCTCTGTGCATAGCTGCGTCCCAGAGCTGAGTATGGGCCTTCATTGTAAGCTGGCAAGGGCTGATGTGAAGATTATAGTCATGATTGTAAACAGAGATCTGGCCCGCAGCAGTCATTCTTGTTAGAAAAGTTTTTTTTCTCCTTTTTATTATTTGTCCTGCTGTAGTCAACAGAGAGCACAGCTTGGTTTCATTACTTTTTAAAAACAAACAAACATTTTTTTTGCAATCTTTCTATTTGCACAACAGCTTATTCCTTTTGGTTTACTGTTCCAATGAAGAAACTGACAAATAGGAGTCATTATAGTCTGAGAATGAGGTTTTTTATTATGAGAAAAGTAAGATATGCATATCTTTAAGTCATTAATCAGTTTTAAAATGCAGGGGAAGCCCAGCAGACTTGCACTGATCATGTATTTTTTCTTCTGTGACCCACAATTGGGACTTTGCAGTTTCAGTGACAGAAAGAAGAGGGGCAGAGAGGGAAAAAGGCAGAAGAACTGTGAGAGACTGCAAAAGAAAAGAGAAATTTCCAGTGGCCAGTTCATTTTTTCCATGTAAAGTCATTCTTAGGCAGGACATCCAAATTAGTCATTCTTCTGTCTGAGGAACAGATAGAAGAAGTGTGTAGAGTTAAAGAGAAAACAGCTGCAAGGTGGGGGAACTTCGATGTGAAACACGGTGAGGTAAAGATGGACAGAAAGAGAAGAGCTGGTTATTAAGGAGAAAAGGCAGCACCGAATGTTCCTGAGTGTCTCAAGTAGAAACGTGAGTTAGTTGTAATCGGATCTCAGCTGCGGTGAGCTCATACAGGAGTCCTGCCAGCAGCCTCAGAAAGAGCAGTCCACCCATAAGTCTTTAGCCCCACTGCAGCCCTCTGTGGCGATCTGCAGGCCTGCCAGCTTAAATAGCATATATAATCTTTTAAGAGTGCTTGTTGGTGCCCTTCCTCTGAAAAGAGATTATAACAGAGTAGAAGAGAAGGTGGTGGGGAAATATTAACAGTCGCCTGCAGTTACAAAAGTGGACTTCGGGCCAATTTAGCCCATAGATAAATCTGTGCCTTTGTTTTCCACGAAACGATTGGTGATTTATTTATTTATTTTAAGGAAAGGGTGAATTACTCAGGGGAGAGAAAATTAAAAACACAATCTGTTAGTGTTAAAAAAATTGGGTGTAGAAGAGTGGTTTTCATGAGACGGTAAAACGTGGTGAAGAAACATAATTCCTTTACCATGAAACCAGAGTTTGTTGACATATAAAAATTTCTTTTCAGGAAGATCTGAGCTTGCATATGAGCGGAGCGAGTGAATGAGATGTTTGACTGCAACATTTAGGGTTTTATTGAGTTGCAGTGAGAGTTTCACATACAGAGCAACATACAGATTTAACACCCTACTTTTGAATTACTTTATTTTCAGTGTTAATCAGCATTAAAAACGCTTCACTGATTAGGATACGGTCACCCTTTCTTAGGTTTCCTTGTTTTATCGGCACTTTTCTCCTCTCTTGCAGTCACACCTGCTCTGATGGACTTCAGATAACGCCCACAGCGGTCCCCGCCTTCCTTATCCTGACTTTCAGCCTGTCCCAGAGCCTCAAAGTTCAACACGATGACGGATCCCACTGGACTGAGCTCTGAGGGGGCAGGGTCAGCCATGGCAGATGCCTGTAGTTTGGAGATAGAGAGGAAGTATGATGTCATCCCTACTGTCATCTGCTCCATGTGTTGCCTGTTTGGAATCATCTACTGCTTCTTTGGTGAGGATCTCTGCTGGCTTACAGAATTTGAAACTTGGGGCAACATGAGACTGCAGGCGCACGTGCAGTCTGCTGTTTTTATCTTCTGGTCATATATTGGCCTAACTTCATTTTTAGTTTCCTTCCAGTTCTTCATTCTCTAATTTCCTCACTACACGTCTCTCCTGTGTGCCCTCCTCCGCCAGGTTACCGGTGTTTCAAAGCTGTCATGTTCCTGTCTGGCCTGATGTTTGGCTCGGTCATCATTTTCTTGCTGTGCCACAAGGAGCACGTGCTGGACACGCAGCTGAGCGTCGAGGCCAGCGCGGGCATCGGCCTCGGTATAGGCCTCCTGTGCGGCCTCGTCACTATGCTCGTGCGAAGCGTCGGCCTCTTCATGACGGGCCTGCTGCTCGGCTTCCTCCTGGCTCTCGCCGCCCTGCTGGTCACTCAGCAGTTCTACACACCTACCACACTGTGGGTGCCGCTGGGCGCTCTTCTGGGATCGGGCATGCTGTTTGCCGTGCTGACACTGCAGTGGCAGAAGATGTTCACCATGCTGTCCACCGCTGTGTTTGGGGCGGCCATCATGACAGTGTGTGCCGATTACTTTGTGGAGATGCTGGTTTTGGGAATGTACGTGTATGAATGCCTGCGCCTCACACCCGGACAGGCGCTCTGCTGGTACAGCTGGGTCATTCTGGGCATCTGGCCTGCTCTCAGCCTCATAGGAGTGCTGGTCCAGTGGAAACTGACGGACAACAGCTTCTCACACACAGAGGGTAAGCGTGGCGCTTTCATTCCTCCGATGAATCAAATCAAGCCAAGGCTTAAACTTAGCATCAAAGTATTCTCTCCGTATGAAAGCAAAGTTTGGCGATCACATCACATCTTCTGACCTTTTTGTGTGAAATCATTTAAATCTGAACTGCTGGAATTTTTCAAGCTTAGGTTTCCCGCATGAAGTGAAAATAGCAAACTTTTACTTTCACAAAATTAAATTTTTTTTTCTCATATTACTTTCATAAATATAGACTCACATTTTTCAAGCACGATTCACAATTGATAAAAGTTGCTCTCGAACTTTCCCTTCACCTCATAGTTGTCATCAGTCGGAGACAGAAGAGAGTCCAGCTGATGCGGATCCGAGAGAAAGACGCCAAGAAGCGACAGCAGGCAGGTGGGCAGGAAGGCACTTACCGCCGTAAACCCACCCCAGTGAAACGTTACGCTGGGGATCTACTGGCACCGGTCAGTGTGACAAACATGCCGCGTGCGGTAGCGATTAGACGTTAGACGCTGGACTTTTTTCTAGCTCTTTGTTCGCTTCGCTAATCTCTCTGTTTTTCTTCTTCTTCTTCTCCTCAGAGCTACCTGCAAAGTCTGCGGGACAGACAGATGGGCACCGGCACTTCCCTTAGCAGCGTGGGAACCGCCAACCACACCACGATCGACTTGGACTACGACACTGGCTCCACGGTGCCCCTCACAGCCACAACGCCAGTCGTCAGGGTCTGAGCAGCACAAACATAAGAAGGGACTACTTAATGCACTCTGGTTCTCCAACTGTGTCTTCCTAATGTAGAGTAGAAGTTAATAACTGCTCTTCTATCCATGGGGTGTTTGTCGCCCTTGAACTGATTTTCTCCTCAGTGGGTCGCAGGTGTTCAGCAAAACACAGCGCTGCTGGAGAATGTAAGAGGATGAGGCTAAAACCACTGCAACTTCTGTGTTTCACAGAGAAACACAAGAAAAACCCCAGACACGAACAAAAATAAAGGTCGACCATTTCCACTCTTCACTGAGCACATAACAGCCCAATGAGCCTCGAAGACAGATGTGTTTCTGTTCTGATAGTGAACATCACAAAGCAATGCTTGACATTACATGTACTGTACTTCAGAAGTTAGTCATCGCAATCAAGTGTCGTGTTATTACCTGTTTTACCCTTTTCCCGTCCGGTCGTAGGATTTTTTTTTTTTGGGGGGGGGAGGTCTTGTCATCACAGTAAATTTTATTTTGTGTATTTCTTCAGATGGAGTATGATGAAAAAGTGAAGTATAGGACCTGGCTGTGTGGAGTAAGACAAAGTGAAGTGAAAACTAAATGATGTGAGAGAGGAAAAAACCTTTTGCTGGGACCTTTAGCGGGATCTTCTAGCAGAACTCTAACAAATTCTGTGATCTTTCTGTTTTTGCAATGTAGCTCCCATCAGAATAAAATGGGCGGTGATTTAGAGTCCACTTTTTATAATTTAATTTATATAAAGTTCAAGTACCTTAGTAGCGCTAAGTAAAAAAAGAAGAAAAAACTAAACAAAAACAAAGCATGTTTGTTGTTGATCTGTAGATTTTTAAATAATTATCCAGATGTTGTTGGGATCTTTTTTTGCAGTGACTACACACGTGTTGCCCGAATCTGTAAATACCTGTTGATAGAAGTGTCAAAGATTAATAAATGTGTTTAATAATAAGCAGTTTTTAGTCGTCTCTTGAGTCGGGGGGGAGTTATTGAGACTGTTTGTCTCTCCGGGCTCTTAGCAACACTGCCGGCATTACTCACCAGATTTCTCATAGGCAATAAAGAGGTCATGGGGAGGATTTCCTACTCTGCAATTGGTTGGAGTTGCCATGGCGCTCGCACAGTTTTCTGATTTTTTTTCTTTGCAGACACAATGTGAGACAGACCGCCCTTTCATCACAGTAAATATTTTTTTTCTGTCCTTTCAATGTGGCTGTGTGAGCAACTGTTGTGAAGATGCTGTGAGCAATCCGAGACGCAGTTTTATTGTTGATGTTATGTCTTGTTTATTCGTAGAAAATGATACATTTTCACTTTAAACGAGGGAACGAGTGAGTGTCTCGTGCTTTTCTCGCAGACCAGTGTTACTCATTGAACGCAATGAAGTCCATAAACACAACTGACCAGAAAGTGCACGTTCCCGTCATCGTATTACGTCTTACTGAGTGTATAGTGACAGCTAATCCAACACACATGTTAAATGGAAAAAACAAAAAACAAAACAGCTTTGATTTTTCTCAAGGATCATATAATACAAAAGTTTGCACAATCCTGCATTCAGAGACACACAAACACAAACCTGCTCTCGAGGGTACAGGTTCCCACACTAGCTTTTCCATTAATGTGGTCAGTGATTACTTACGATGAATTGCTGCTCTTGAGGTTAGGGTGGCTTGTAAATGCCCTGTGCTTCACACCTTTTGGTACCTGCTGCCCCCTGATGGTGGAGCACTAGCATCGCATCCAGCGTTTCTTCTTGCTCAGTGGATAGCCTCTCTCTGCTTTCAGCTGCTCATTCACTCGCCAGTAGTCGTCTCCCTTGAATATGTATATTTTGCCATTGGTCCAGGTGAAGGCTGCATGAGGAGCGGGTGGCACTCCAGTGAAGAGCATGCTGAGCGGCTTGGGGTAGAAAGTTAGGTCGTTGTATTTCAGCTCATCCCACTGCCAGTGCTCTGATCCCTACACAGGGTGACGGAAATAAAAAAACAAATGAGGCAATGAGGAATAGAAGGTGTGGATGTAGATGCATGTTTAAGTGCTTCTCTTCATAGCTACCTTAATGAAGACAAGCTTTTTGTTCTTCTTCAGATACAGGGCTGCATCGATATTAGGGGGAATCCTTTTCAGCTCTTTGGGGTAGCCGTAGTCCAGAACAAAACTGGTATACCTCCACACTTTATTGCCTGTGACCAGAAAGAGCACAAACCTTTTACGCTGACTATTCCGACCCAGAGAGCGGTGGGTAACTGAAGTGTAGCTTGACTGGACTAAAATTACCTTTTAAGAAATATGTCTTGTTGGTTCGCTGAGAGTACACAGCAGCATTTAGGTTTCCTGGGAGGCCGCTCCACAGTCTGTCAATTCTTATAGGTGGGTTGTGTCCCAGGTCAGAGATAGTCCACACATAATCACCACTAAAAGCAAAGGTTTTCTCCCAGGGACCTGATTGAACAAATAATAACAGCCATTCATGAGAAACGATCTGAATAACAAGATCTATTAACCCTTTTAACTCATGGTGACTTTGTAATCTTGGTATATTGAAGTTTCATTCTTTAAACTAATTTCGATGGCCTAATGTAAAGTTAGCTGGTCTAGCAAACACTGATCGATAACTTACCTAATATAATCGCATCCAGTGTTGCTGTGCAGGGATCAGGGATGTTCTCAGTCCCCTGGCTGCTCACTGTGGGAACCAGACTGTCTGGAGTTGTGGGACTGGCTAACGTGCTTATGATGCGTTTGCCTTAAACAGATAAGTTAAACATTTTAGGACGATTGCATGTTTTCTTATATGCAATCAGAGCCCAGAATCATCACCCTTAAACTGACAAATGTTGTATATGTGCAACATCGACAGCCCAGGTCCAGTAACAGCACCAATCATGTTGCAGGACCCCCTCGACACACTCACCGTATAGTGCCTGGATGCCATTCACGTCATCTGAGTGCAGCCTGAAGTTGACACGGTAACCAGAGTAGACCGGTGCCATCAGAGCGCTTCTGAACTGAGAGTGACCCAGGCCGAGAGCATGGCCAATTTCATGAGCAGCTACAATACGCAGATTAGTGCCATAATATGTTCCCTCAGTCCAGAACTCATCCTCATCAAAGTGGACAATACCCGATTCTGGTGACTCAGCATGGGCCAGTACATGACCTGCACCCAGAGCAAATAAACAGTCACAGTCCCAGCAACCCAGTCACAGACGACCTAGTGACACATGCATTTATAAACAAGACTTACCACGGCCATCAAATGGGACAGAGCAGAATCCATCTTTCTTATGGAAGGAGATCTTTATGTCGGCTCTGCCATAATCGACCTCTCTGAAGGTCAAAGCCGCCACATCGCTCCAGTACTTGAAGGCAGAACGGACGGCGTTCCTGACGTCTGACTTGATCATGTCAGGAGTGTAGTTGTAGATGCGATAGGTTAAGCTCCTTTTCCTCCAGCGGCCTAAAAGAGAAGAACATTTTGTTTCTAAGTCATCATAATGAAACCGAAATCAAGACTTTATGTACTTTATGCGTGGAGAGTTGGGTGGTTGAAAATGCATTTTGTCAGCTCCTCAAGTAGAGTGGATGAATTTGAAACTGCATGGAAAAGCCTGTTTCAGGAGTGTGTTTAAACTAACGTCATAGCTGTTGCCTTTAAAGATCCAGCTTTTTAATGCTAATCTGCAGCTGTAACAAGTTAACAAACGAGTACTAAATCATACTATACCCGGTCATGACAGCTTGTCTTGTGTAATATACATATATTCTTAACTGTAAAGCCTCAGGATACTAGAAACACTGATGTCTTGCTGCTCGTGGTTTTATGAAACTAAAAAAACTAAACAAACCAAAATAATCAGGAAATTGTGACACTGGCTGGGTATTTTGTATAACAGTTGCAAGTAAATGTTAAAACCACCGATGTACACAATTTGCTTCTCACCCATCACTCTGTACTTGTGAAATTTCTTGTTGAAAGGATCCTCCAAACCACAGCGGGGCTGGTTCATCACTTCCAGTGTGGCTTCATCTAACTCTCCAGTAGGTGGCAAATCATTCACTCTCTGGAAGACACTGATGAATACAAGGAAATCAAATATCTGTAAAGTAATGGAAAAAAACACTCCACCCCACATCCTGTGTAGGGAGTATCGCTCTAACAGATCCTGATCTAACAGCAGATGTTACTGGAAGTGTGTTCTCTGTAGAAATAGCAATAATCTACTTTACCTGAGGCCTTCAATGACCTCCTCTAGGTAACGAGGGTCCAATGTATCGATGGGCTCATTCAGGTAGCCGTACTGCCTCAAATAAGCCTGTGCATGTGTGAGAAAACAACAAAGCTGTCATGTGCGACCACGATAAATCAACTAATTTGGCAGGAAAATAAAGAGACATCTATAAACACATCATAAGGACTCTCTGATTAGATAAAGTAAAAAGGTCTGCTTTTAGAGAAGTTTTCAAACAAGTCACCAAACGACCTGCCATCTTACCGTTGCTTCACTGAACTCCGTCCATGGTACCACTGCGCAAAATACTCCTTTGAGGCTGAACACCGGCAGCAGCAGCACCAGCAGCAGTCCTTTGTGCTCCATAATCATCCTCAGATTTAGATTTCACAGCCGGTGCTCCGGAGACGTGCTCAGCGGAGTCCCACAGCAGACTCTTTGTTCTCTTGGCGCTCCAGCGGTTTTTAACTCGTCCGGCGCATGAGTCAGCCCCGCAGCTGTGATGATCCACCTCTGAAGAATGAGGATTACAAGAGCAGCCAGTTGACCTACTATCAACATGTCTGCTGTTAAATTGTACAGCTGTCAGGGAAGACCGAAAGCCCCCCCCGCCTGCATGCTCTACACATAAGATGTAGTAAATGTTACAGTAGTGTGGGTTTAGTTTGGTCTTTTTATGAGCTGGTGGAGAGAGGGCCTTCTTCCTGAACATAGCAACACTGATATATCACTATCCAGGATTACAGCAGAGTTGTTCATTCCTTAACACATGACTGGAGTTCAGGTATGGGCCTAAACCACAGGATTTGCCCTGCCCTCTGTTTTCACATTCCTGTCACCCCCACACCTGTATTACCTGGAACAGATATCTTTAATACACAAACAGATAAAAGCTTTAGTATTTCCATTTGTGGAACAGTATTCTTAGTGGACCTGCATTTTATTTTATTTTTTTTCCCATTTTTTAAAAATGTTGTTTTGCGATTCTCCTTATTGTCTTTAATTTCACAAATAAGAAAAAATATACTGTCACAGCTGCGGCGGCAGTCGTGTGGGGTTGAAGGGAAAGGGACCCAATCGGGGGCACTGACGATGCAATGAGTGAGCTTTATTTACATGAGGTGATAATACAGACAGAGCAGAGATGGGACAGACGGGAACTAAGAACAAACCTAAACTGGGACAATCTAACAAACAAATCTGAATCCGTAACTGACAGGAAAACATACAGGGTGGAACACGGGATGACACGACACAGGAAGAAACACGGAGGAAACAGACGGACCAGTAACAAGCAGAAGAAAACACAGGGCTTGTATACACACAGGAGCAATCAGGGAATGGGAGACAGGAAGGAAACAAAGCCGGGAGAAATCAGAACTGACAAGACAAGGGGAAGCAAAACCAGACACACTACACACAGGACAGGGACCATCAAAGTAAAACAGCAAATACAACAGGTATGAACAAACACGAGCTTAACACAAGACATCAGACATGGCAACAGGGAGGGAACACAGAGACGTGGGAGCAGCAAAGGCACAGAGACACAGAACAAAAATACAAAACAAATATCAAACGTCAGAACAAGAAAATCCTAACAAGAATTAACCTGAAACATAAGATAATAATCAAAACCACTGAGTCCACAGACTCAGCACCATGACATTTACAATAAAATGCTCTGAGTGTTCAAGTAAGGCAGAAAGGTGCGATATAAAAACCAGTCCTCATGATCAAGTCCTCATGTTTAGTTTTGCCTTTGGTTTCGATTTCTTCTGCTGCATGTGTATCTTTTTAAGTTTTTGTTTGTACAACTCCACTTCAAACTACAGAACTTGAGATTGTGTATAAAATGTAAATAAAAACATATTGCAATGATTTGGAAATCTCAGAAATCCATATTTTACCTACAATAGAACTTAGAAAACAAATCAAACGGTTAAAATAAGACATTTATGATTTCAAGAAAACATGAGCTCATTTTTAATTTGATGGCAGACACACATCTCAAAAAAGAGGGACTGTCTAGCTGATAACAAGGTTCTTGACCTCCATCAAAAGCCTACATCTCTGATGGTAAAAGGGTCCATTAGTTCCTTTGGAATTGACAGATTACATCTGGAAATCTGGAAAGACACCGTCAATGCTGAAAGCCATGTACAGGATTTAGAGCAACATGTGCTCATTTATTCATATGATGTCTTTTTCAGGAAGCTAATGCTAAACAACATACTGCATTACTATTAAAACAGTATGGCTTCATAATAGTAGAGTCTGGGTGCTGGCCTGCATGCAGTGCAAACCTTTCATCAACTGCAAACATCTGGAGCACCATGAAATGAAAACCATGACCAAGAAGACTCAGAACTGTCGAGCAGCTAAAATTCAAATCAGCTGTGTGAATGGGACAACATTTCTCTCCCAAAAGTCGGGAAGCCGGTGTTGTGCCAAAAAGTAATTGTCTGCCAAAAACTGATTTCCGGTATTTGCCAAAAAGCGATTGCTCATATTTAAAGTGCTATAAGTAGGACGATCTGATTTCCTCGTGTCAGCATTGTTCCCACATCATCATAATTAATGTTGTTCCAGGTTCAACATTGCAAGTGACCAATCACCTTCTTGTGACGTCATTCCTTTGCGACTTCGAAATACCCACCTTCGATTATTTCGAAATACAAGTGAAGAAGCGAAAAACCGCCGCCTGTCCGCCGAATTTGAAGTCAATTTAGGATACTTTCCTTTAATAAACGGTAAGCATTATACATATGTTCCTCACTTGGCTTGCTGTTTGTTTGCTAGCGATAGGCTACTTGACGACAGCATTAGCTAACCAGTGTTCTCTAGACCAGCGTTCCCCAACTTTTTGGGTGTTTCGTGGCCCGGGGGTTGGGTCAGGCAAAATTGCAGTAGCTTCCCTGATCATTTTACAAACATAAGTGAAGAGAATCTGGACTAAAAGGCCTAGACTTATGGTTGTGTGCTGAATCTATGAATCAAACTATCACCTGGAAACATAATTAACTGGTCCATAGCTGTGAAACTGGACATGAGTTCTTGATTCTATGGAGATTAACAGTAATCCAGAAATTTACAAATTTGTCCCAGGTACATCGCGTAAATGTTGTCCCAGGGACATCGCGTAAATGTTGTCCCTGGGACATCATGTAGAAGTTGCCCTGGGACATCGTGTAGATGTTGTCCCTGGGACATCGTGTAATTGTTGTCCCTGGGACATCGTGTAATTGTTGTCCCTGGGACATCGTGTAAATGTTGTCCCTGGGACATCGTGTGATAGCTTGTAAATAATGGAATGAAAATTATTGATTGTTATTAACTTGTGAAAAAGAAGTGTAACAAATCCACATGTTATGTTCTTACACCCTTACAGAAACTGTGACTCCTTCACAATGTCAGGTAAATGTCAACTCATGTTGAATAATCAACCAATCAAGCCTTTTATTATCACATGCAATGTTACACGTACAACTGCAATGAAAATTTCACCCCCTTCTGACCATACATATATTGCTTAAACATCACATTGGGAAGACAGGTCGGAAACAGTTAGGAAGGTCAGAAAACAATTTAATTAATAGATGAGGGGAGAGGAGGAGAAAAAAGAACTACAACCAGACAAAGCTCCTAGAAGACTGAAATGGATGATGGTTGCAGCATGCAAAAAGAAAATGATATCTGTTGACTACAGCATATGCTTTCTCACAGATTACCTTGTGGGAGTAGCTGGACCAAACTCTATTGGTATTTCAAGTTTGAAATCCCTGTTTGACCAGACTAACATTTCAGATGAGGTACCTCTTGACATAAAAATCCTTTTATGTTGTCATAAAACTAATGTTAAATTCTGCTTTAAATACACTTTATTGTACAATTTACTTAATGAATCGTATTCCTTAGTTCTGTTTTTATTTATATGTATTTATTTATTTGTTTTATAAGGTAATAGATGGCCTAATCTATTTGCAGTGTGAGGTATGTTGAAAAGCTTGTTTGATCATAATGACATAGCATGTTTACGTTTTTTGTAATGTATTTGAAAACATAGGTGTATTTATGTTATTTTTATAGAATTTCCCTCACATTTATCCAATACCAAGCCAAATCACTGGAAAAATTTTGGATGGGTCCACAAGAGCACAAAGTGCATACTTTTTGAAGGTATGACTTGGACTGTGGTAACTATGTTCTTATCACAAAGGGTTTATAAGTTGCCACTATAAACAAACAGCATTTTCCAAAATTGAAGCCTTGTCAGAAGAACCTGAAAAATACCTTTCTGAAACCTTTTCTGTGTAAAGACTTGCTCAAAAGCAATGCACACAGATTAAAACATTTCTGTCTTGGCCAACTGATAAAGAACACCAAAAATTGAGTGGTGCGTGTTGAGTCTGTGGTCTTGATTTGTTTTGTACACACTATAGAAATTAATTAATGTAAACCAAAAATGACACTTTCTATATGTTTGTGTATCTGCAGAATTAATTACAAGTCTCACCTGACAAGCTTTTGCAGTTTTGCAGTGTCATTCTTGACAGAAAAACATACTTGTCACATTCTTTTTATTTCCAGAAAAACATCTTTCAGATGTATGAGAAATTGATTGGAGCCTGTCTGGAAAACGGCAGCCACTGGACCTTGTTTGTAAGTTGCACAGATTTTGCACTCTCTCTAGTGCATGATACTTTTCAGTGTCCCTCATTAGGAAAGCTCAAGGCCCAAGCCTACCATATCCATCTTTTTACAAAACAGTTTTGTGACATACCCAAGAGGACCAAAACAAACAAACATTTCTTTGTTAATCTAATTCTTTTTGTTCTTTTTTTTTTTTTTTTTTTTCTTCTTCGTCAATTATTAGTTTTCCCAATCTCTCATTGACGGTAAAACACAAGTGGAGGAGTACAACACTGAAATCACAAAGCTCAGGTCCCGACTTTGCCACTACTTATTTTCCTCAATAGGTAAAGATAAAATTAGCTGCCTTCTTTTTCTCTAACATTGGAAAATGTAACTTGTACTTAAACAAATTATATTTTGCAGATCGAACTAGGAAGTGCAGTCAGTGCTGGTGTGTGATTGCAGCCAAAGACCGGGTACACTATGACATGTCCTTAGCCATATAGATTGTTTATTTAATGGACTTTGTTCATTTGTTTTTTGTTTGTTTATTTCTTCTTCTTCTTTTTTTTTTTTAATTCACAGGTGCAGTGCCAGAAATGTGGTGCATACAAGCACATGCGTTGTTCAAAGTCTGTTTGTGGCATCTGTATCTTCTGTGAGAGTAAGTCACAATATAACTAAACAATGTCCAAAAATGTTTAAAGTGAAATTTTTTTTCGTAATTTTGCCTTTGCACACCAGGACTGTGTAATTAAAGTGGACGTTTCAAGATCCAGTTTTTACACA